TACGGGCGGAGGCTAGCTGACTTGGTTCCGAGAAGGAATAAACTGGGAGAAGGCAAGATATGGCTGAGGTACTAGGCATGAAGATAATCAATTGAAAATGATGACATTTGAAAAGACCTGAGGTAAGGCAAGAGGCGGCGAGCCGAAGATACAGTTTCCTTGAAAAACGACAAGCTGATAAAACTAATCATGGTAAAGCACTGCAGCAACAAAGGCACTCTCAGAACATTAATGGAGGAAGAGAAGTGGATGGCAGCAATAACAGGCAGAAACACGGCGCTTCCGAACCGAAGCGATGCATCAGCCAGAAAACGACGATAGGATCCCTGCGAAAGCCAAGCTCTGAAGAGGGAATGGAAGCCAGGGCGAACATAACAGCAACTGATTGACAACTATAAGGCTGAGGGACATCGGGTTGGAAGCAGTCATCTAAAAATCAGATATTTTTAGAATTTGAAGTGCATTAACATTTTGCAGTCTTCTACGAAAGATGGTAGAATTTTCACTTGAAGCCATTTCATCTGGTAAGGATGACAACCATCTTGAAGTGCGACAAACAAATGAGTTGAACGTAATCGAAAGTTTCTTTGTGCCTAATCTGTGATAATGTAGATTGAACTTACCTACTCGTTGACTACATGGTCTAAACACCCAGTACTTACTGGCTCGGAGTCTGGTCTCCAAACGCAATATGCGAAATCCCAAAACCAGATCATTTATGATACGCCTGTACTTTAGACTATGAAACTGAAGGAAATTGAGTTGTGATCAATACGATGGCAGACTCTGGGGATAACTTGAATCGGGGGTAACATCTATAGAGGAGGATTCTCGTGAAAGTTTTCTGAATTTTTTCAAGTTTTTCAATATTTCTTTTCAAAAAAGGGCTCCATACCGGAGATGCATATTCAAGATGTGGCAGTACGTAGCTTTTGTATAAGGTCAGAAAACGTAGCTTTTGTATAAGGTCAGAAAAATCTTTGGATCAATACCATGTATAATACGGAAGATTGTAAAAAGAGCTGAGGAAGATTTTTTGACAATCAAGTCAATATGAGTGGAAAAATTGAGTGTGTTACTGATAATCACGCCAAGGTGGAGGTTGGAGGACTCAAGATTGACACCATCATAGTTGTAAGTGTGGAAAGATATTTACCTAATTGCATCACAGTAGTCTTGGAAGGGGTTTACAGGGATATTCCAATCTTTAGACCATGACATCATTCTTTGAATAGAAGATGAGAGTGCATCAAAAGCAGCATGTTGTTGACTAGGGTCATAGCAGTAATATACTTTGATATCATCCGCAAACATTTGCACTTTGATGTCAGGATGGGTTTTCAAAAGAGTAGGGAGTTCGGCAACGTAAACCAGGAATAGTAGAAGAGAAAGAACGCCTCCCTGAGGGGCACCACTGCTACAACAGTACCGATCAGAGTGCACCGTCCCCACACGAACTGTCATACCTCTTTCGCTAAGATATGATTTTAACCCAGAAAGAAGAGGCCCTCTGATGCCGTAGTTCTCAACTTTGGAAAGGAGTTTACTGTGATCTACCTTGTCAAATGCTTTAGATAGATCAAAGTAAATTATGTCTACAGCTTGACCTTTATTGAGAGCTGTAGTGCAGTCAAAAAGGGAATCGGTAAGTAAGTGTGGTAGAGCATCTGGGAAGAAATCCATGTTGTTTAAAGGCAGCGTACGGGCAAAACTGACCTACCTCAGATTTTGGCGCAGGTGGATAGGGGGCCCTCCATGTAATCCAAAACAGCCACTCCGCGCCGAAAATGCGAATTCTGCAAGCCAGGGGGGCAGGCCAAGCGCCGCTCCCCTTCCTCCTTTCGCTCCCCTAACACCTTGTTCGGACGAGTCTCGTTGTCCGCTAGAAAGGGCGCGTCACTTGTCGTTTCGTAGGGCAGAACTGTTCTGGCGTTATTTCCGTTCTCATTCCCCGTGCTTTGAATTTGCATGTGTTGCGGCCTTTTTTGTATGTAATCCTTTTCTTTTCAGATGGTGGGGTTGGCAAGAGCAAGGTTGTGATCTGTCGGACAGTGGTTCAACTAGGACTGAATCCGAATTTGAGGATGGCGATGAACGCCGAAGAAATGTATTTATTGTTGAACATGAACAAAAGCGAGCTCTCTTCAAGATTAGTTCAGGGACTAATGCACCTCAAAGGTAAGATTTGTTCAAATGAGACAGAAAGAAAGTGTTTTATATCGTTTTTTATAGATATCTCCAGTGTTAGGTTGATACGTGCTGTGATATGAAATGTGCATGATGTATGCATCTTCCATTTCTTAATATTTGTAAATATATAAACCTGATTCTTCAATGAGGAGCATTGTTTGTGTTAGCACTTGTCAGATCACCTGCTGCTCATTAGTCCGAAAGTTCTTACATAGCATTCCGCACTCTTTTCAAAGCGCCGACTTCATCAGTTTCGTTCCTCTTCCCTCTCATCCTCTTTCTCACAAAAATTTACTGTTCCATTTCAGCTTACGAAGATAGGACTCTACTCAACATACACGTTTGACCACTGCACTGAAGCCTGATTCGGAATCATACAAAAAGATGCGACAAGTAGTGTAAGTAAATTTTTATCATACCCCCTTGTCATGTTTTTTGTTCCCATCGTCTTGTAATGGACGTCGTAGAATTGATAAATCAGTTTATTGTTCATATAGAAGTTGTTGGATGCTTGATTTTTATACAAGCCACATACAAATTGCACAAGCACATTACAATCATTGTTTTGACTCCCGTTAGCCTTATCTTGCTATTTCACCGACTTTGTTCTCCTATTTTTTTGGAATAGGCATTAGTTCAAAATTTTGTGTTTGTGACCAATTGATATTATTCACGGAATGTTGGCTAGATAGAAAGAAAAATACTTCTTACTTTCTGAAGATACATCATTCATCATAATGTGTAAAGTATTCATTTTTTTTCCAGTGGTGAAGATCAATTCTTTTCGACGCAAATACTCTTAATCATGGTTTGCATTATTCAACATTGCAAGCAATGGAGAAGCTCGCTAACGATGTGCAGGGACAGTGAGTGCCCTCAGTTTCTGAGTCTAGTACTTCACATGGTCATTGTTGTGTGTGGTTGTGTGTGTTGTGTGTGTGTGGTTGTGTGTGTGTTGGGTGTGTGTGTATGTGTGTGTGTGCATGTGTGTTGTGTGTGGGTGTTGGGTGTGTGTTGGGTGTGTGTTGTGTGTGTGTCTGTGTATGTGTGTGTGCATGTGTGTGTGTGTTGTGTGTGTGTGTGTGTGTGTGTGTGTGTGTGTGTGTGTGTGTGTGTGTGTGTGTGTGTGTGTGTGTGTGTGTGTGGGTGGGTGTTGTGTGTGTTGTGTGTGGGTGTTGTGTGTGTTGTGCGTGTCGTGTTGTGTGTGTTGTGTTGTGTATGTGTTGTGTGTTGTGTATGTGTGTTCTGTTTTTAGAGTCAAGCGACGAGAGCAATTCCATCGACGTCGTATGTTTTTGATTCAGATGCACCAATCCATTACATCAACGACAAAAACAAGCGATTCAACAAAAAGCTCGAGAAGTTTCATGGTCAGTATAGGAAGACATCAGACAAGGTAGGTGTATCCACAAGTCTGATGCTTACTTGTCCATTATAAGAGACTACTCTGTGTTTTTTTCAAATTTCTGAGGGTGAATCATCTTCATTCTCATTATAGCTCTACTTTCAAAAAAGAAAGTACGCATGTAAACGTAATTTTCTTCTTTTAGGTGGACCTCGAACGTGGAACTGCTATCTAGGGAGGAATGGCCAATTATTACTGTTCTTTCGAAATTTTATCATTTCTTAATTCTTAATCTATGTATCTTTTCGTAAATTTGAATGCCAACACTATCCTGTATGTTCGTTTTCACTGACAAAAATAAATATCCAGATAAACTACATGTAATTCACAGTCCAGCGAATGTGAAATTGCTGTAGGCAGAGGCGCTAGATTTCTTGAAAAGCTTGAACTCGTGCTAATAGGTGATTTGGTTTTGCGCATACCTTCGAATTGTTCTTTCAGGACAATGTATGAGGACTTTATACATATAACCGCAGAAAAATACTTACCTTTCCTTGATACTTCACATAACTTGTACGCAATCATGCTATCGCACTCATAGGCGAGACACCGCTTAATTTATCCCGTTGAGGATTACTTCGGTGTGTATTGAGGTGTTTACCTCTTGTACCATAAATTTTAGTAGCTGCTTTTATACGAGGTTCATCTTCGTGCAGTGCAATTAGGGGGTCTGCGCAGGTTTGCCGTTTGTTATGTGTTGATGTGATGTATGTTTTCTGCTGTTTACGCGCTCTGCGTACGTTGCCTGTGCAGTCGTGGTGAGCCGCCTAAACTGCGTGTGTTGTGCTTGCTCTCGACCGCATAGCAAGATTAGAGCTGCTCTTCACAAGAGGTGAACCGTATCCCGCTCATCGCAACAGGTGTCCAACATCGCGAACACGATTGCGTAAGAACATGCTGTCACGAATCGTGCCAACAAGAGAATCTCAAATCAACCCTTCGTTGTTATGCCTGGACAATGGTTGTCAATGGAAGTGCGACCAAAATCTGTAAAACTTAGTGGTAAAATTTATGTCCGAAGAACATCTAGAAAGTACATGATTTCTTTCAACCAGGCCATATCGAATACAATGGATTTGTTAAAACTGGAGAAAAAAATCGCTATTAAAAGTATGGTCTTAGGGTGCAGCCTAGCATTCGGTCACGGTAACCCAAAGGCTTTCTTTTGATAAAATATCTCAAAAAAAGAAGCGAAAAGAAGAAATTAGCTGTGCACTGCTAGTTATAGGCAAGCTCGTCAGATCCGTAAATTCTGCAATATAATGCAATGCAGTTAGGAATTTGTGTTGTGTGATTCTTTTTTTTGACTAAGAAAACTTCGCGCTAAAATTTTTTTTTGAAGGATTGTGATTTGTGAGGAAACGATCAGTTGGATTGTGATTTGTGAGGAAACGATCGATCAGTCAACAAAAATCGTAGAAGTTGCCCGACAAATAAAAAAAGCTGTCCCCATGTAGCAAAAAAGTGATTTACCACTCCACATCAATGAAGTCTGGACCATAAAGGTATTTCGCTGGAAATGCCTGTCTCTGAGACTCGTCGGAAATCGGTGTCATAACTATCCCCTAAGGGCATCGGTTATCTTTCTGCTTGCTTTATCACGCTTTTTGCTCAATTTGCACTCCGTCATGTGCTAAAAATCGCGGGAATGATAAACACTTCCTTTTTTCATGTAGACGACTGTGGTGGGTATAAAGGACGAATGAATCATTGTCAGAGCAGAATGGCCAATACCGCCATTTTCACTGCATTCTACGCAGTTCAACGCAACAACAGTTATGTTATGTTTATGATAATCCCAAATTCACTGATCTCAAGAAGTTCATCATATGCCAATTTTTCGAGAAAACAACAATAGCTAAACAAGACTGAGTCCTTACAACAAAAAATGAGGGTGGTACATACCAATCAGGGCACGGCACAGGTGGCTTAGTAAGCAAGCTGAATATCGTTTTTGGGGAAAAAGCAAAGGGGATATCGTTTTTGCGGAAGAGAATAACGTTGTCTTTCGATCTGCGGCCGGCACGCTGCCGGCATGCCGCTAGCAAATAAACAAAAGGTTTGTTTACAGCGAAGTGAAGATGAAATGACACCAAAATCGGTGTGTAGATGGGCAATGGGGAGTTAGGACTAAGTATGAAAAATTATGAGAAAATTATGTGAACTAAAGGCGTGCTCAACTTTTTTCGGAGTTAGGTGGCTTTTAAGCCACCTGGATAGCCACCTGAGGTGGCTTAGGAAAGAAAAAGTCATAAATTTTTCCTCCCTCACATAATTTTTCCACTTTCTTTACATACTTTTCATCTACATCCCGAACCCTACAAACTGGTTCCTAAACCGCCTCAAACCCCCTTCTCCCCGCTTAGTCATAGCCCCTTAAAAATTTTGAATGGCTGCGGAAAGGCTGCTCTAAGCGCGTATTGCTGCACGATGGATACATCATGCCGCCATTCCGGAGAATATGAATATAATTGCGTGTGTTCGATGATTCTTTTTCGCTTTTTTCTGCCGTTGCTTTGTTTCGTTCCTTTTCATGTATTCTTCTTCGAATATCTCGTGACGGATGTCGTACATTGAAGTCAAAAGGGACTTCATTTTTTGCAATTTCGGGACGCCACCTCGTGCCGAGTCCTGGTTTAGAATCAAAGGGGACTTCGTAAAAATTCGCAAAAGTCAAGGGGGACATCGTTTTTTGCTTTTTCAACTAGCCACCTCGTGCCGAGCCCTGATACCAATACATAAGCTGACAAAATCGACAGTGTATTTCAGGTTTGCGCGTAGTCCATATTCATCCCCCACCACGAATTTGAAAAATACTGTCGCAGAGTGACTATTCGCTGAAAATATATGAGTGATATCAGTATTATAAAGACAAACGAATGAAGAATTATTTGCTATTTGTTCGATATTGCCGAAATGCAGTGATTATTCTGACTTTTACCGCGAGAAAATCAAGCGGAATCACATAACACAAGCTTTCAGTATCATCTTATCGCGATGTCCAAGTTCTATTCCTGTATTGTTTGTGGAAACAAGGTCGATAGTCGCTTGGCGACACGCACTTCTAAGAGCCAAATCCACAACGCTATATTCCTATCGGCGCTGAAGGTATACCTATCAGTCGCAGAAGAACTACTGGAAATTTACTTCTCGGAGTTCATTACCACCCAGAAGTTTCTATGTACCGCTCACTTTGTCAACAGCGTGAGTTTTTCTGCTTGCCCTCATCCAGAAAACAACTTACACAAATCAGGCACAACATCTGCTTGCCGATATAGTCGTGGGAGGTGGAAAACTGTCATACACAACCGAGAATGTGGCGTATCTCAACGAGAGCGAAATTCCTTCACATATGATGGAGAGACTCAACGTTGCTATTACCTCTTTTGCAGTCAGTCCAATCTTGTTTGTGTGGAACAAAAAATTAATTACATTTGATAGGGCAATATCGTGCTGAGAAGATCCGATGTGGGACGGTACATAAACTTCTACATGAAAAAATATTATTGTTCTCGCTTCAACTGTTGGAATGTTGTTCGCCAGAGTCAAGATCAAGATCAGAACCAGAATGTCCAGAATCAAGATCAGAACGAAAACAGTCAGAATCCGCCCGAAGAGGTAAAACTCTCTTCATACTTACCGATGACGTACCCAGGATTTGGGGGGGGGGGGGGCAAAATTTTTTTGCGATGAAGATGCGTGGCCTCAGCCACGCGCTTCGAAATTTTTTATAAGGCTAAAATGAATTGTTTGCCCCCGCTTCCCCCACCCCCCTCCTCTTTACGCCATTGATACATACTTGTAAACACAAACACATTCAGAATGTGCCTGAAGAAATACCTCCCGTTCCTGAAAATATGATGGACCAAGTCATGCACAGTCCTCCGCCTGTCAGACACGGCGACTCAGGGTCCTCGAAAGTAACGGTTAGTCTGTAAAAGGGAATAAACGAGCAAAATCAAAGCGTAATCCGATAAGGGAGCCTTCAGGACAGCTCCTATCATCCCACACCGGAAAAGCTCAGAGCAGCGCTATCGGATAGCGATGATGAAGCTCCACGGAAGGAAAGCGAACCCGGGGCATTAGACAAATTTTACCTGGTCTCTGGGCGCAAGCTACTCGAGCTTTTCTTACGTAGTCGGTGTGGCTGCCAAAACAATGCCGATGGAGTCTGGCTGGAAACTTACGGGACAGCTCCCGTAATCTATTATACCAGTCCCGGCTCAAAATCTGGAATTGAACGCTGGGAAGGCCAGGATAGGGTAGGCACGACCATACAGGAAAAGATGTTTACAGGGAACATGCTCTGCTCGGCATCTGCAATAACAACTGGCGTACGCATGAACGTAATAATGCATATCGAGCAGTGACGGACAATGAACGCAATTTTTCAGAAAATCAGGCAATGGGCAGACGAAGCCGGTATAGCTGTCCCGTCGAAATCGACTTTCTACTCGGTTTTTACTGACATGCGCCAGGCTGTTTCCACCGTTTATGAGGCCCACCAAAACGCACTGATTCGATTTATAAAGTCCGAATACGAGGTAGATATAAACAATGTAAAATCGAATATATATATATGTATCAGTGGCCGGCTTTAGGGGTGCTTCTCATTCCGGGCCCATAACCCCCAAATCTAGAGAAACCCAAAAAATTTTCTTACAGAGCTTATTTGAATTTTCAAAAAATTTAGAGAATTATTTCGTTTATTTACAATAATTAACAAACCACTTGCACAATTTTATAACTCATGTAATAACTTTTGAGAATTTCGGACATTCTCGGGACCCTCCCCCCCCCCCTCGCCCCACTCCATCGGTCCGGCACTGATATATATACATGTGTATATTGTATATATGAAGATGACGAAGACTTGCCCGTGTTTAGAGCGATGGCCAGCCTACTTGGGACATCCAAGTAGACGGGTCGTTTGACTCTCGCGGACACAGTGCTGCGATTTGCAAAGTCCTGGCCATAGACCAGCGGACAAAACTAGTAGTGCATACGGAAGTATTGCACTACTCGGAAACAGGTGCAATCCTACAAATCTCAGATAATTTTTGTTCAAGTATTACTTTAGATCATAATAGTGTGAGAATGGAGAAGGAAGGTTTTAAACACCTTTTGCGTTGGTTCCGCTCCAAAAATATCGGCATACGCTCAATCTCCACAGATCGGAGTACCACATACGGAAGCGAGATTCGAGCATTCAATTCTGAGAACGCCACCAACATCACATGGCTTCTGGATACATGGCATATCGCCAAACGGTTGAGTGCTAAAATCCGTGCGGTAAGTCGCTGGGATTAGGTTATGAGCAGTGGTCCAAGCTAGGGATAGTAGAGGAGGTGTAGAAGGAGGGGAGGGAAGGGGGGGGGGGGGAAGCGAAACTTCTATATCAAGATTATGGACTGATGTAATGATTTTTCATAAAAATTCAGAGCATCTTGAAAACTTCCGATGTCGTAATGGCAATTCATTGAAAAAAATCCCTCGTCCCCTCCCACTCCCCGTAAGTTGTCTCGGACCGCACACAGGCTATGAAACAGATTTTGAGGCAGCCAAACGCAGAGACTCCGTTTGTTTGAAAGAGTGGATCACCCCACTCAAAGCACACTTGTACTACGCGGTACGGCAGGGAGCAAGCACCGAAAATCCCGAGTTGACAAGACAGGTATTCAATACCTGTCTTTATCACGTGGCCGACTGTCACTCATGGAATCAGGTAAAGTGCCTGCACGAAATCGCCCGGATCGCTGTAGGCTGAACGCACGCGAGCGTGCCTGCAACGGCTGCCGAGTACGAGCGCTATGATGATACATGCGCGCAAATGCCAATGTTAGCCCGCAAGAGACACGCACGCAGGTGCTCATTCCGGACGATTCCGTGCGGTCAACTATAAAACAGCAGCACAGGGAAGGACATAATTTAGGATGCAGATACGGGGCCGCTCACTAGCTGCGCTCACGAAGCACTGGAGGAAGACGGTAGAGACAAACCGGTGATACCAATTGGAAGCCCGGCGCACCAATTAAAATCTATAATTCTGCAACGGGAATTCCAGGATGACTTGTCCCACACAAGTCCCTATGGAGGGACCAGTTGGTGCGAGTCCAAAAACTCACTGGACAGGTTGTACTGTCCTAAAGAACTAAACTTGTAAGTTTCTGCCTTAGCATGTTCAGGCACCCTAACAAATAAGATCATTTCCTTTTGAACTTTCAGGCCAATAGGTACGTATCCAACTTATGTGCAGATGTCAACGCTGCACATGAACGAATTGCGTATGGCCGAAATACGCGGAGAAAGGGGTGTAGCGCGGACTTGCACTGTAACCCGGAAATTCAGTGATAAACCGTCGACCATGACTATAAAGACACCAGTACCCCATAGGTGGAGAAACGAAATCCTCACCGAGTTCAGATGTCAAAGAGCTGGGCCATCCGGCCTTGACACGAGCTTACAGCCAGCCCAGCCAACATCGGAAGAAGCCATGGAGACTTGACAGCAACTCCACCAGAAAAATATGTGCCCCATCCGATCTACAACTTTTACTTTCTCCCAGTTCTCCAGTCAAAAAACGTGCGGTGCCCAAAACTACAAGTGGGATATCACACTGATTCATATCGGCAAAACAAGGCGCATTATTAGCATTACAAAAGCAGGTATTACGTAAAGAACCGCATGTTTTCAATATGCTGGGGAAAACAGATGGAGCTTGAATACGATGCGCACAATGGAAAAACACTTAGAGATGCCGCCGCAATCTCCTTTCACAAAAAAGCAAAGAATAGGAATTGAAAAACAAACGAGAAGAAATGAAAATAAGTTGATAAAGCAGATGTGAAGCGCACACTCACCGTCCTGGCAACAACACTAACCATTCCATAGTCGATTGGCTTCTTTCCGGTGCTCTGGTAGGGTACACTGGCATATTGATGCAGGTTTTGATCACGATTTGGTCTCCAGTAGTTGGTTTCCCTATAAGTATATAAGTGTAGATAGTGTAAGTATATATATATACACATATAAGTAAGTATATACATGTTCTTTGTTAGATCTATGTCAATGTAAATGATGTTTGTATGATGTACTTTGTACTTCTCAAATGTAAAAGCAATCTAAAAAAAATTTCACTCACCACTCGTCTATAAACAACTTTGATGGAGCAACGAATACATAGAAAATACAAATTCTGCTGTGACGGTGATTCAGCTGCAGCATTTGAATCATGTAGGAATTGAGAGCACACGAGCGCATCGTTTCGGCACTGATCAAATAACCTGAGAAAATGATGATGCATGGCGCGAAAAAGGTAAGTGAAGAAAAACACACGGCCGAAAAAACACACCTCGACTTAGTCATTTCTTCTCTGACAACTTCATTGCGCTGACAGCAGGGTAAACAACCGATCCAGCCTGAAAAACGACTATCTAGAAAAAGGAGAGAAAAATCGTAACACAATAACGTGACATAGAATCGCGCAACATCCAAAAGCGGAACAAACACGAAGGCGATGAATATTGCAAAGGAAACAACATTAGGAGATCTAAAACCTAACAGTACTATTCTCGAAACTATCACGTCGTGTATTTCGAAATGAGAAATGCAAATAAGGCACTTGCATCAATAACGCGCGCACAACGACATTCCAGATGACAAGACGACACTCTGCGTCTCTGGCACTCTGCTACTCAGGCACTCGTCCAGCCTAAAAGGTTGGAAGGTTCAAAAAAAGGCAGTTTTTGAAGGATTCATAAGTTTTTAAGTTGCTTTTCGGTTTCTACAGCACGGTTTAGCCCAGAAAACGTCAAAACCTTGGCAGCGAGATTTTGGCCGGACGCTGCCTTTAAGTGGAAGAACATGGTTTCTACCCAACCAATCAAAGAGCCTTTTACAGATGACTCTTTCAAGAACTTTGCCAGCGGAGGGCATGAAACTAGGGCGAAAATTTGACAAGGCATTGCTAGATTCTTTTTTGGGGATTGCTGTGACAAGAGCTTCTTTCCAAATTTGAGGCGCAACTCCCTCTGAGAGCGACATGTTAAAAATATATGAAAGTGGTATGCAAAGTGTTTGTGCACAGTTCTTGAAGATTATCTGTGGAATACCGTCGAATGTGGGAGTTGTGTTGTGCTTCAGACTCTTCAGTGCACTGAACACTGTATCAGGATTGACGCGTAAATCACCTATAGATTCAGGGATGCGAGCCATTGCCCAAGGCATGCTCATTGCGCGGTTGTCATCACCAGCCTTTTCAACTACATTGGCAAAAAATCGCCCTAACGCATGCGCCTTTTCCTGGTCGTCCCCAAAAGAAATACCAGATTTGTCAATTAGGGTAGGATGTCTCATATTGGCTTTTGCTCTACTGAAACACCTATACAACTCTTTGGTTCCTTTTTTTTTGCAAGCAGATGTTTATGGTTTCGCAAAAATTTTTTAGAGGAAATTAGGAGTAGGAAACAATCAAATTGTATCGTTCCTTGCATTTTGTTTTCCGCCAACCTTCCAGGCCAGTAGAGCGGGCTGAGAATTCTGAACCAAAACTGTGGCGCTTCCTTCTGCTTCATAGTTTCACACGTTGTCACCTCCCATCCGCTTGTTGAGTTCTCGGTTGACAGTGTACCCTTCTTCATCTGTGTATGTGTGTATGTGTGAATGTGTGTTGTGTATGCGCATGTGTGTTGTGTATGTGTATGTGGGTATGTGTATATGATGGTTGAAAATGTCTCGCTGTAGATAGTGAAGTCGTTGGTACAGTTTATTAAGACGAACCCGGTGTTAAACCGGGGGAGCAACCTCTAATACAGTCGGGGCGCGTTCCTTCATACTACGCCGCAGGACGCAGCAGCCTGCCGCAGCACGCGGCAGCACGTCGCAGCACGCCGCGTCCTGCGGCGTACGCCGCTGAAGTTGCAGTGAAATATACGCCCACGGCAGCACAGCTTTGCCGGTTATGGATGTACATCTATATTTGCTGCACGTTCGTGCTCTCCGAGAGGTTTCTTCACAGCGAACGAGCTTGTATTTTCACTGTGACTGCAGCGGCGCACACCGCAGGACGCGGCTTGCTGCGGGGTAGTACGAAGGAACCCTTATATAGTTAGCAAGGCGGAGTTGACCCGTGCACAGTCAAGCTGCATAAGGAATATACACAAATGGAAGAGGATGCCATGGCTTAGCGCGGCCTCTGGGAGATTGGTGCCACTCACTGGTGAGTGATTCGGCACTTGAATATAAGCGGTTGGGGAACGCCGTAAGCTATTAGAATCGTAGAGTTGTTGAGGTTGATGATACGTAAATCATTAACACTCCGGGCGAGCAAGGAGGAGGCGAAATGGCAAAATATCAACAAGCTAGCATGCAACATGGACTCTAGAAAAGCACCGAGACGATCTGAATATATATATATAGATGTGGGTGCAAGTACAAAGACATATTTAGAAGTTGCCGATGTTGATGATACGTAGATCATCAACACTGCGGGCGAGGAAGCATATAATATGTTGTAGGCAGAATTATAACCATTGCCTACAGTGTAGGCTTAGTGATGAGAGTGATTAACACAGGATGCTCTCAAAGACAATAGGTGTTCTATTTGCTGCGACCATTCTGAAATGTAGCTTCACTCCTCGTCCACTTCTCCGCTACCCCGTCGGAATTGTCTCGTATTATTGAATTATCACAATGATTAGCGGTGATTGTGTCCTGTCGTTTATGTTTGCCGTTAGCCATTTGGCGTGTCGTTGAGGGTGAGAGGCGGATTTAGAGGCTTCTTGCATTGTTGATTTACAATCAAAAGTGCCAACAACATCCTTGCGCGCTTTGGTACGGCTGGTTCCAGATGTAGCATATCCGAAGATGGTAGAGGTTGATATGAGACCCGAAGGAAACTTGAGCACTCTTTCGGTGTTGACAGTGACCCAAGTTGAGAAGATCTTGTTCAATGATGATATCGGGTAGAACGTTTTTATGGTGAGCGTATCTTGAGCTATCGCCAAGTTTCTGCTAGAATTGAAGCGGACATCTATATCCGTGAGATGTGATGTGCGTAAGTTGGTATAAAGCTTCTCTTTCGTATGCACTAACATCTTCTTGAGCTTCTCTGCACGGTGAAGGCTTTTCAAAATGATTTGTACTTCAGTAAAGCTGAATGTCTCTTTTAATTTCCCCGTTCCTGTTATGGTGAATGACGTCGCTTATTTGGATGGTAGCTCAAGTCCTTCACTGAGTCCTGATCTGATGAAGCTTCGCTGGGCGCGAATCAGTATTGTTGTGGGTTGATAATCCCAATGTTCCTCGTTGAGAATTGCCGTCGTCATTAGAGTGCGCTTTGGCGCACGACTGGTAGTTTTTTGCTTGAGCTGTAGACTTCCTTTCCATACAGCGGGGTTTGTGCAACGTGACTCTACTTGCTTTGTGATGATCTGAGTTGGTTCTTTGCTGTATACTGGAGACATGCAATTGATGATCTGCTTGTAGAAATTTGAGACTGCTCGAGATTTCCTCCCTCCTCTTCCCATTCCGGACGGTCATTATCTGTGTCCTGATAACCGCTCGTATATAAGGTGCTTGAAAGGAGTGTCTTCATCGTTAGTGCGGTCGTTTTTCGAAGAGAAGTGATGTCGTCGATCGCGTCTATTATATCGGAAACATCGAAGTGATCGCCACTTACGGTTTCCTTCTGCATGACGGTTGCACAGATGGCTTCAGGAAATTTCGATACGATCATTCGGCGAAACTCTGTCTGCGCTCATCTTCATTCCGGCTTGTTCTGGGTGAATGATTCGCCAATCGATTGCTTCAGACTTTTTTCGGCAACTTTCAGGATTATCTTTTGCTCCATGAAGTCGTTCGATTGTTCGATTTCATTGATGAGTATATCTGCCATTTGGCAGAGCGATCAAAGTGCTTCTTCAATATGTCTACGGCTGTCTTGTACTTGTCTCCAACGACAGGAATCAGTTCAGAGATGCAGCTGCTTGTCCTTTGAGCGCTTGCTTCAGAAAAACGAATCTGGCTTCAGCCGATAAATCTTCGTCGCAGTGAATGAGTGATTTGAACACTGTACAAAAACTGTTGAACTCTCTGAAGTTGCCAGAGAAAGTGGGAATTTCTGAGAGTGGTTTTCAGCCTCTGATCTGGCGTTCACTTCGTTCCGCTGTTGAGTCTCTTCCTAGCTGACTGGTTGGCGCGGAACACTAGGAGTTGCGTATGCAAATGTCCGTTTGCTCCCTCAGTTCATGTTGTCTGAACTGTATTCGGTTTTGCCACTGAACTGCCATCACTTCCAGATCGAGTGTTTCCAGCTCCAGAAGCTTGCTTAGGTTCAACCTCAGCTTCTCTCGTTCCTTTTATTCACTGCTGCATTGATGTACTCAGTGGCAGCGTCGAGCTGTGTTTCTTGCAATTTCGCAGCGTTTTGCAAAGAATTGAGGAGATTTGTTATTACTCCTGCCTTTTCTTCGATATAGTTTTCACATTCCCCTTTTGTTGTTGGAAAAATGGAGGGGACGTCTATGTTCCCCACATCGGATTCGTAGGATTTTACGAGCTTACAGGCGTTATTGATTTTGACTTTGAAGAGTTGTAGAACTTTGAAGAGGGCCATTTTTGCTAATTTACCGACTTCTATTTTCTCTTGTCCTTCAGAAAGCTGGTCGCTTGGCTGTGTTTTCGGATGTACAAATTAGCGAGGTTTCGTTAACTTGTAGACGTATCTTTTGGTGATCCGTCGATTAGGGGCAGCTGTAGTGCTGATCTCTGATTTGCTAGCGTGCCTGAGTGACTCGAACGCTGTACTGACTGGTAAGGTGGCTTGGACCTTGACCAGATAAGGACTGCGTTTTAATCTTTTTAAGTCAAGAGTTCTTGGTCGAATTTTGAGTTTTTGGCAAAATGAGCTTTGGTAACTCAAGTTACCCCTTTCGAATCTCAATGTACTGATCTCGGTCCTTGGATAAGAATCGCGAGAGATCACTGAGATTGATCGGGAATTTGCACCCTCAAAAATGTGTTTCGCTCTCCAGGTCACTTACGAGCAGGATACTTAGAAAGTTTCACGGTCTTATGCGGTAATGTGCTATACTCACAGAACCTGTTCCATCTTCTGGATCTCTTACGAAAAGGATACACAGAGAGTTTCAAGTATTAATGTGATTACGTGCTCCACTTGACTACTCTTTCTCTTTCTGGATCACTGACGAAAAGGATGCATAGAGGATAGTCAAGGTATTACTTCCGATTTCTCCTACACCTTTTTAAATCAATTACGAAAAGGATAACCGAAGTTTCCAGATAGTCGGTTGTTTGCTTTCTTCCTGCCAAGCGGGTCTTGTGGTTTCCTCCGGTTGCAGGTGGAATACGAGGTGGTTTTACTGGTCGATGCACCAATTTGATGGAAACCAATGTCTCGCTGTAGATAGTGGAGTCGTTGATATAGTTTATTAAGAAGAACCCGTGTTGAACCATGAGAGCAACCTCTAATACAATCGGGGCGCCTTATATAGGTAGTAAAGCGGAGCTGACCCGTGCACCTATGGGAATGACCGTAAGCTACTAGGATTGTAAAGTTGTTGAGGTTGGTGATACGCAAATCATTAACAGTAGGTGTGTATGTGTGTATGTGTGCATGTATGTATGTGTGTATCAGTGGCGTACCCAGGATTTCGGCTCGGGGGGGGGGGCGGCAAGCACTCCGAAAAAATTTTAGGGGAGCTTGTCAAAATTTTTGCGGGCCCCAACCCCTAAAATATGGAAAGAGGGGGCGTGGCGTTAGCCACGCCCCCAAAAAAAATTTTTTTATAAGGCTAATTTGAATCCCCACAATGGTCGGTCGCCTCATGGTGGCGTGGGGGTGACACTGGGTGTCGAACTGCGATGCACAGCTGAGTGTGTACTCTGGTAGGGCCTCCCAAGCTGTGAAGGAGTTCGACGTTTCCGGTTTCGGCCGGATGCCTAGTTAAAAACTGGCCACGCCAGATCCCCCGCCGTCTGGCTTCTTCTGGTCGCTAGGCGGTCCCTCCCCGCTTCAAGCCCGGGGTCAGCGATCGCCCCGTGGAAATCAAAAGTAGGCCTAGTAAGCCAGCTCTTGTAGGGGAAAATTCATATCACTTCTCCAGTTAGAAGATTAGAAAGAAACCCTGCACATTGTATCCCGCCTACGGCGCCGGGTGGTAGCAAGAACGATGTCAGGGTACTCAGGGCGCCTTTCGGATTGGACAAAAACGACACGTCTGCCCGGACGCCATGGAGACTGCCTCATGCTCTGCACCTACAACGCCAGGACAGTCTCCACAAACGCCGACCTCCACGCTCTTCTCGAAGCTGCAGAGACATCAACTACCACATCATCGCTCTGCAGGAAACGAAGTCCAGGAAGAAGGACTTGCGACAGATGAGTGATGGGACCCTCATCATTCGTGGTGAAAAGGTTCCATCACGAAAGTGAGAGGCGTCGGCTTTGTCGTCCACCCATCTATCGTCCATCTTGTCGATTCGCACGAGATCCTATCACCTCGACTAGGCATCCTACGACTACGCCTTCCACGTCAGAAGACCATCAGCATCATCAACTGCTACTCGCCAACATCAGCATGACGATTCAAAACTAGATGCTTTCTACGAAGACGTGGAG